ACAGCAGAGCAACCCCAAAAAGGTCAGAGAAGGACCAACGGGAGGCGCCGAAGTTTAGTTTGCGGGCGGGCATCACCGCTTGCAGCGGCTTGCAGCGGGGAGGGGCTGCTCGCAAAACCACCTGTCAAATTCATTCTAAGATGTCTGGTATCACCAAAAGGTGAACAGATAAAATTTTGGCTGTTGCCTCCAACTTAGGATCAACTGCGCCCATCTAAAGGTAATAGAGAATTAAAGCAACAGCACTTTGAGCCCAGACTCAGGCCAAGTTTCGCAGACTCAGGCTAATTGGGATCAGCTTGGGTGAGACAACGTCAGCGTTGAAGCTATCTGTCAGAGGCCCTCCCCAGCAGGACCAGGATTTGAAGTGAGCTTCTGCGAACTACTTGGGCGCCAGGTTGGCTGTCTTACGGCTGCGTTGGAACCATCTTGGGGCCAACTTCGTCTACCTTGGAGCCCACAATGGTGATACAACTTCGGCATTGCCAAAAGCCATCCAAAAATGCAGCTCAAAATGCTCTCCCCAGTGGCCTTGCAGCTCAACCATAGCGACGCACGCGCGAAAAAAAGGCGCCAGGTTGGCTGTCTTACAGCTGCGTTGGAACCATCTTGGGGCCAACTTCGTCTACCATCATGGTGATACAACTTCGGCGTTGCCAAAAGCCACCCAAAAATACACCTCAAAACACTCTCCCCAGTGGCCCTGCAGGCCGAGCAAGAATCAACGCAGCAACCAGCCCAAAGCACAAACACGACGTAACGAAAAATCATCCAAAAATGTGCCTCCAAAACGCTCTCACCAGTGGCCCTGCAGCCCAACCATAGCCGCGCACGCGCGAAAAAAGAGGCCTAGCAAAGCTATTTGCATAGCAGCAGAGCTTAGAGAGCCCCATGTGAGCGGATTTCAAAAACTCTCGCCCACCTGTCAGCGTTGAGCAAAGAGTCCATTCCTGGGTGATGTTGGGTGAATGTGTTCAAGCGAATCATCCACATCCTGTTTTCTCAGCCCAAATCCAATTGCCAGACTCTTTGCTTGGACCCAATCCATGCTGACCGATCGTTTGTTCGCCGAGGCGACTCTTCCCGTCCGCCGGAAAACCACCGAAAACCCTCCAACACCGACCGCCCGCGCCGCGTCGCGTGCGGCATGGGCAGCGCGTGGCAGCCACTGACCGACGCCCGTGCCGCGTTCGGCGGCGACCGACGACGAGCGACGAGCGGCGCCGGATGAGGTACCCAGCTGGGCTGCCGGAACTGCCTGAGCGTGACGAACCTCCACGGCCCGGCCGCGCCCCGACCGGCGCAGCAGCGTCTCGGGCAAACCAAAATGACAACGGTTTGGGGTTTTAGGGTTGGGGGGGGATTGGAGGGTTGGGAGTGGCCATTTGAGAAAAGAGTCCGATTCGGGGGGGAGCTGGCCAATTGGAATCCAATGAATGGGAATCCCATTGGTGGAGAGATGGACGAACTTGCCAGCCGACCCGGGACCCAGAAAACTGACAGTGCCGTACACGTCTTTCCTCCACAAAAAGGGGTGTTGAAGACGCTGTCCAAAGGGGTGTGATGCATGTGGAAATATGTGGAGTGCATGTTTGTACTCACAGGACACCTTCAACTTAGGTTTGGCTAGAAGTGGAAATTCTCGATCTTGTTTGCACAGGTCTATCTAGTTGTTTGAAGACTTCGGATGTGTTGGTTGAGATCCGGAGCTTCAGCGGCACCAGAGTTGACAGATCTAGAGCGGCCACCGCTGGAGAACGCAAGTGGAGTAGAGATCAGTGACCCTGTTTTGTGTTGTTTCAGCTGATTTCTCTGGTTTTCCCGAACTGGGTCAAGGCCCAAACCTGTGGAATGTGTTTTTTTTTCCGGTTCCAAGAGCTGCAAGTTGGAGTGACCGTGCCCCTTCTGTTCGACGGTGACGGCGGAAAGCAGAGCGGCGCACGGACGTTGCGCTCAGCCCTGGGCGAGTGGACGTTGCTTCCCGCGTCACCTGGGAGAGTGTTTGGGTCCAGTCGGGCCACTAGTCTCTTCTCTTCTCGAGCAGTACGTACTTTGCCAAGTCTTGGAGGCTTGGTACATCCATGCAGGTCCATCGGTTTTGATGGTTTTTGAGGGGCCAAGACTGCCCTCAAAGATTGTGTTTCTGGTGGTGGGAGATCTTCCTCACTCTCATGCGCTCTCTTTGTTGGGCCTTCATCCTTGTTCGCTCAAGTTCTCCAGAGATCTCACGTTTTTCGCTTGCAATCGCCCTTCTTTTGCACCCCAAAACACCCAGGACGGGGTGTTGAAACACAACGTAGAGTTCCTTGAACCCCCGAAAAAGGAAGGCGAACGCAAGTGAAACGAAGAGGACACGCCCTCTGGGAAATGATATGGACATGCACGGGCGAGAAGAAAATGCCAATCGATTTGTCCAGATTCTCAAAGGCACAAGTGCACTTTTGGCGCTTGGTGTCCCAAACTATCCCTTGTCCTGCATTGAGAAACCACGTCCATCGCAAGTTGTCATTGCTTGCGGATGTGTCAACGTAGGGCTCAAGTTCTGCACACAGGGAAGCTGCTTCTGACATGAGTATTTCCCTGCAGTGTCCCTTTCCGCAAGCGTGATGGTCCAACCCGTCGAAGCGGAGGAGCTCTTCATTGTCACGGTCTCTGAGCCTTCCAGACCTCCCGGCTTTGCTTTGATCGATTGTTGCTGCGATCGAAATGGACGGACAGGTTACTGGCAAGATCTCCCGCACCGGGCGCGGGAGCCAATGTCGGGTCAGCGAAGCTTCGTTCTGCCAACTGCTGATGGGGTTCCTCATGTAAAGCATGCCTTTGCAGGTGGTGTTGCGCAGTCCAAGTACTTTGCGACAGAATGTACCCAAGCTGTTGGCCTTTGGCAGGCGACCACGCATGCTGTGGCCAGCTGTGGCCCCACCCAACCGCCCCCCTCTATGGCTTCTTCTTTCAGAGCATCTTTTGGGTGCGCAAATGATGGTCCGCATCTGACCCATCTGTTCCAAGAGATTGGACCTGTACAAGGTGATCCAAATCCAAACCTGTGAAGGCAGGCTGCGACCTGCGAGCTGGTTCCAACAGGTGGTTCCGGACATCAATCGGTGCGTAGTCCACGCGCGGGGTCTGATCCCGCACAGACTGCAGACAGATGTGGGTAGAGGAGATCCAGATGCCTTCATTACCCTAGTGTTGCTTAAGGTTTTGTGTTTCCCCGAGCTGGGTAAATCCCGAAACCTGGGCAGTATGGTTTTTTCCCAGGTTCCTGCAAACCGCAATTCCATTCATCATGCACGGAATCAGCTTCAGATCCTCACCTTCCCTCACCTCTTCCCCACCTGTTTCGCTCAGGATTCTTTGCAAGGGCTGCCAGCCTTTGGTGAAGAAGAGGTGAAACGAACGATTCGACCGAAACAGGGCTGTGGTAAAAGAAAGACCCAGAAGTTGTTCGGATCATGACTTATATACTGTACTTCACCGAAAGACTTACAACCTCGATTCGTACCCATCAAAAGGGCCCACATAGATCAAAAAATCCAACTCCAAAACAATTGGATGTTGACCTCCCTATACTAGGTTTGTTCCTTTTGGTCATCTACTCGTAGGGTCTGACCCATATCCAAATTGGGTGCAGTCGCCTCATGTTCCAGATATTTTTCAAATGAGGGGCCAAGTAAGATGAAGTGTTTAGACATGTGTGAAGGTGATGTTCCTTTTGACTGCTACTGTGGAGTGGGTAAGAACCATCTAAGATGTCATTGTTGTATGTTTTTGTTGGTGTACAGTGCGTTGTGGGATGCCTCCTGTGTTTGCGGCTCTCCTGCCACTCAAAACCTCTTGAGTCTCAAGTATTCCATCGAAGCCTTCAACCTCCTAATTGTTCACATTCGACCATTTGCCAAGGTTCAGTCACTTGATTTTGGCAGTTTGTGGGTGACCATTTTTTTTGGTGCTGTCGAAAAAAGTAGGCTGTTCGAGAATGTTCGCGTTCAGTACACCGAACTCCCGATCGTTGCGGTGCAATGTTCAAACGATTTGTTCGAGCTGTTTCCGCCTGTGGAAGCTCCATTCTGATATCATGCTCTTTTGTTTCTGTCAATCACCAGCTGTGTACAACGTGTGACAATTCTACCGTGTTTTGCTCTAGTCTATATTCGTTACATCCCAACAGAGGTTGAGTGACCTTATTAGGACCCTACTGGGGTACCTATAGGATAGCCTATAGGGTTCTTCAACCTCTGCTGGTCATGTCTCCTATGTTGCTTTCGACTCCTGTCGAGCGTTTTTTCGGTCGCAGGTGCGCGGAGGGGAATGCTCGGCTTCGTCTTCAAAGAATCGACGCCACTTGACTCAGCACAGGCGTCCAACGAGAGATTCCGGGATCCCAAGCTAAGCAATGTCCAGAAGGTGGAATCCAAGAACCACTTTGCCGGACCAGTTTTTAAAAAGGTACTGTAGGACATCACTTGACTGCATTCATTCCTGGCAATCGTTAAAGCTGGAGGTCCGCAAGGGAAAGCGGAGGTCTCGTGCTCTTCCGACATCGTCCAGTGGTTCAGCCACCTTGCTACTCTGTAGATCTCTGTAGGCTTTACTGGAGGGTTTTCTTTTAGCACTGAAAATGAATAGGATAGGATAAAGCTGGGGGCCCCCTTAATAATGTATATCCGCTGGGGGGGGTAAGGATTTTTCATGATCTTTCAATTCATTTCTTGATATTTGTTGGTTCATTTAGTTGTAGCATGTCGATGCTACGCACTTAAAACCCTCCGTCTCCTGGATGGTTGTTCACATCTCATGGGGTTTATTCATCAACAGTCAACATTGAATGAGTTTTTGCCGATTTGGTGTTCCTGTTTTGCGCACTCCAAGGCCTTCTTGGGAAGTCACTTGGAGCCCTACACTTATGACCCCGAGAGCCTTCGCTGAACTGGAAGCTTTAAGTGAGAGACTACTATAAGCCTGCTGGTCTACAATAAGATAGCTAATAGCAAAAACACTATAAGGTATATGTGTATAACACATCAATGTGTACAAGGTACAGAAGCCTTACCTCCAATAAATCCCATCTTCCTTCGCGGCGCTTTGTGTTCGCACGTCTTCAGATGTCTGGTCTGACCGTTCTTCCGACTCGCGACGGCTCGGCCGTCTGAGGAGCAAATTGGAACAAACCTTGCGCCTCAGTGGCTATGCCATGCAAGGCACGCTTTACGCGGTCGTCCAGCGTGCCTGCGCACCGCACGAGGTCGTCCGGCGGATTGTAAGGAGCAAAGTGTGGCCGGCAGAGGAAGTCCGGCGGTCGCAGTAGGTGGGCCGGCGTCCAATGGCTATAGGTATGGGTATGACTCAAAAAGAGCTCATGAACACGGCTAGAATCTGCACTTCCAACCATCTTCGTGAATTTGTGAAGCACGTCCAAATGTATCGATGGGTGACAGCTAGTGAACCGGGCATAGAAAACTTATGAAAACTTAAATTCTTCAGTCTATGACCTAACTGAGGAAAGCATTCATCAAGGTCTGTGCTCATTGACTGGCCATGGTGTGTTTATGCCTGTTTCCTTAAGGTTTACAAGGGCTCATGCTGCCCACGCTGGCTCGAGCCTTGATGTGTTTTGATGCGGAAACTGGAGGCTTGTGACATATTTGCGTGGAATTTCCAGTGCAAAAGGGAACCATGTTCGCTACCGTTCGGGGCTCCTGGCCGTACTACGAACGGAGCTCTCCGTGGCATCGCTGCGAACGGAGCGGTCGGATCCTCGGATCCTCCTCGACGTCCGCTCCGTTCGCGCGGTGGATCGCTACGGTCGTGGCCGCGCCCGGGGCCGTATTGCGACGCGCGCACTGGTTACGCACGTAATGCCCTTAGCCGCCCTTAGCTAGTAGCTTCTTGCTACGAAGGTAGCGATGCATGGATCCCAGTCTACATGCAATCATGTGCCATCCATGTTCTTCAAAGACTCAACAAGAAGACGTCACACCGGTGGCGCTCCACTTCCAAGTTTGGTGTACTCCGAAAATCACGGTGACGCTGCCGTTCAGGTCTGAAGAAAGTCTCTGGATTCATTCCATGGGCACAGGCACGGCCCAGATCATGTGGGTTCACACGTGTGGGTTCCATGAATCAGCGAAGACCACTGAAGACCGCGGTCAGTCGTTATATATAATTTGTTTCCTTCTGCATGGCTCTTCCAAGTGACGCAAGTGACCCCTTTCATCCCCTTTTCTTGGAAGTCACGAACATTGGAGGTCACTGAGTCAGAGGGACTTCACAAGCAATGGCCTCCAACCTACTAGCAATGGCCTCCAAATGCCTCCAACCTACTAGTTTTGAAAACACTATGTCATTGAAGGTCCTTTTCCTTCGCTTTGGGTCACCAGCTCACCAAGTCCAACTCGCTCGCGCGTGCGCGCGCGCGCGCCTCTGCGCTCGCCGCAGTGAGTCCATCGCCGCCCTCCAGCGCGGAGTCGGACGGATTTGGGATCTTCGGAGTTGCCCGGTCCGTGCTGTAATGAGAACTAGTCCACTAGTGGTTTGTGCCTGTCAGAAGGTGCTTTCTTATCTCAAGGTGCTTTCTTTACGGAGAAACGATACCGAGTCAGATGTGTTCCGGCAATCCGCCAGGCTGCTCAGGCGATCGAGGCGGGCTACTATTTGGTCAGGCGCGGCGAAGAAGGAACACCCAAAGCTTTTTCGACGTCCAAGACATTCCAAGACCATTAACCATTTGGTTGAAATGGTTTTCTAGTGTAAGATCCTTAGTAAAACAATGGTTCTTCAGTAGAGCCTATTAATGGTGGTTGGAAGCCTAAGGTTAGATTGGTGAACATGAGTTAAAAATAGTTAAAAGCCCAACCAAGCAGCTCAAAACCACAGTCGATTGACCTTTTCCGGCAGTCCATGTTCTTGAATCTTGAAGTTGTACAACGAAGCCATGGCGACATTTCATCGCAGTTGTTTGGGGTTGATGCTTGGGGTCTTAGGGTTGTATGTCCAACCTCGAACTGGACGAGTGACATATTGTTCCGAGTCCATGTTCAGCTGACGCACAGCCATGACTGGCAATGCTGCTTCGGGACGGCATCTCTTCGTGCCTTGCAGCTTTTTCAAAACGTTGCGTTGACGATGTCATGTAGCATGTAGGGTGCGTAGCGGCAGGTACGGCCCGCTGATTTTGGCCGGCAATGAGATTATGGAGTCTTTCCAGCTCATCCTCGGCCTGGCGAAGAAACTGGAGTTGCCTGGAAGCACGCTCGCTTTTTGCGCGCAAAGAGAGGCCCCAAGGTGCACGAAAGAGAAAAAGAGAGAGAGAGAGAGCCCTGGAAGACCAGATCAAGAGAGTTGCCAACAAGAGAGACGAAACACACAGCCCCCCTGCCGACACCAGATATGCCAGCAGCATCTTTCTGTGTTCGGTCCCCCCCCAAAAAAAGAATCCCTGTGATTTAATCAGAGCTTTTTGTAGGGCTTTGCATCTTCACCTTCTAAGACACAGGGACGTCTTGTGCGAATGGCTCGCGACCGCCGCGACCGCCGTCGTCGTGCCGTGTGCAGCGGTCGTCGTGCAGGTGTTCGTTCGGCAAGGAGTCCACACGGAGTCCACGGAGTCCCTGAAATCACCCAAGCACGACGTGCCAACAGAGGTTGAAGGACCCGAACTAGACTATCCTATAAGCGCTATAAGTACCCCTGTAGGGTCCTAGTTCAGGTCACTGTCCACCTCGGTTGGTGTTTGGGACTGCCGGACTTCCAAATCGGGGTGGCGGCAGTCCGATGGCAGTCCCAGACTGGTCGTGTTTGGGTCATGGGTATCAGGTGACATGGACGGGACAATGGCCCCTTTCTTTCGGAGAGCGAAGGCTCGGAAGACCAAAACAGGTGGTGCCATCCACGTAATTCACCATGTTTTTCTGAGTTCCAAAACCCCAGGTCCGTCGTCCTGGAGTCCTTCGTGTTTGGCGTCACCAGGTTGCCCTCCTATCACCGCTTGGCGTCGCCAGACTTCTTCGGAGGGCTCTACTACAGCATGGGTGAACACTGGGGCATGCGAGGCGGACCACCGAACGCACCACCATCGGGTCCGGCGGGAGACTCCGCCATGCGGAGAAGGTGGGAGATGCTAAGAAGAGCCTTTAGGGAGAACAGGGGAGAAGTCACTGTTCCCAATTACTTCACATCGAATGATCCCCACCAAAACATGAACTGTTCAAACTGACAACTTTTCGGCATGTATTGAAACATTATTTGCGCATTCTTTCTGGCATATCTTCTGACATTCTTTCTGAGGTTTTTTTTCTGGCATATCTTTTGACATCATTCTTTCTGACATTCTTCCTGGCATCTCTTCTGACTCGCGGTTGAGGTCCAGTGGGGAACACCGCCGTCCGGAATTGGCGGTTGAGGTCCGGCGGGGAACACTGCCGTCCGGAACTGGCGGTTGAGGTCCGGTGGGGAACACTGGGCGCGGATGGTCGCGGTTGAGGTCCGGCAGGGAACACTGGGCGCGGATGGTCGCGGTTGAGGTCCGGCGGGGAACACTTGGGTCTGGAGCTCGCAGTTGAGGCCCGGCAGCATTGTAGTCAAATTCTAAGTCAATTTTTCATCTGATGTAGTTTTACTATAGTTCTAATTATGTTTGACTACTTCAGATCCAAAATTAAATTCAAATTTGAGTTTAACTGTGAATGTGCAACACACTTCTAATTTAATTCTAAGTTCATAACTGAATCCGATGTAATTGAATTCAAAATGAGTCTTCAATTTTAATCTAATTGGTCTGAACTGTTTGTGTTTTTGTTTTTGGGCACTTGTTGGTCTGAACTTGTTGTTTTTTTCTTGGTGTGCTTATTAAGGTATTTTGCATTGGCTATTGTCTACATATCACTATCCTTACAAAAACCTGCGCTTCTACAATCTACACCACTCCACCCCCCCCATGGCTACCCCTTCTGAAAAAAACACCTCGGACATACATCCTAAAGTCATCAATAAAGCACAACCAACCAGAAAAAGGTAAGTTATGATTTGAAGTGTGTGGCTGCGGCTGCGACGGAAGCTATTAACCTTCGGGCATGTTGCATGGCTGTGCAGAAAAGCTGCCTAAGGAACTTGTCCAAAGGACAATGTTTCGCGCAAAAAGCATTAGACGGTTTCATTTGCATCAATGATGCCGTTTAAGAGATTTGAGCACATAAAGATACCAGGCCACAAAAGACATTCTGAATGAACTGAAGGAAGTCTAGGAAAATCGTCTTCCCGATTAGCAGTGGCCTGTTTAAAATTTGAAAAACACCATAGAGTCCGGGACAGCGGAGATATGCAGCGGGTTATGCCAGGTTATAGATCGATCTACAGAACTGTGTCATCTCTTTGGACCCCAATGCGTCTAGATTTCTAGACTTTCTGCTGCTACACCTCTAGACCTCACACACACTGTTTGGGGTCTCTTGCCGGGATAATCGCACAATGATTTTTTAACAGGCTTTGCTTTCAACTCTTTTTCAGCAATTCTTTTCAGTGTTTGTGCTTCACATCATGTCCTCGAAAGTTTATCCTTCAAAACATCCAGTTTTGGTCTTCCGCTTCCAGAACTGGCGTTAGGTGCCATGGCCGGATGACATGGAGCGAAATGTTTTGATCTGAGTGGATCTGGTACGCCCTGCACGAATTTCAGTGTTGCCAATACTTTGATGGGTTCAGCGACATCCACGAAGGTTTCCATGAAGTATGCCAAATTCACTGCGGAACTTTTTTTTATCTTGTGCGAGTCATTGAGTTTATTTCACTTTGAAAGGAGAACCCACAGACCTCCCGGCTGTTCAAGTTGCCTCTGATTCAGGCAGCCCTTCAGGCCTCCAACCTCAGCCCAAGCGCACTAGGGGAGCGCGTGGTGGACAAAAACACCCATTCGAGGCTAGTGATAAGCGATACGCCGAAACTTGCGACATCATCGCAAGCCATATGGCAGCTTTCACTTATAAAGAGACAGGACGTGCCTGGCATCTTCCTTTTATAAAGCCATTGGCAGCGAGGAGGAACTATCCGGAATGGTATCGGTACGTGGTTCACCACGCAGATGCCTGGGCGGATACGCCAGAGGACGGTTTAGTCTCCCTCGAATCACTTCGAGCCTGGGCCGCAATACTCCCAGAGTTTTGGACCTGGTATTCGCGATACATGCAAGAAGTGATTAATGGTGTAGACCAGCCCCTCTATAGGTTCCCACCTGGCTGCTACCAAAATTCGCACCAATTCATTCCTCTTCGAAGCGTGATTGACTCCGACGATGATGACAAAGAAGATGATACGGGGAAAGACGGGAAAGGATCAAGTGAGGGCAGGACAAGTCTTCGAAGCGTAAAGATAGCAAGGAGTCCTATGGGGGGAAGAAGGACCATTCAGAGAAGTCAAAGTTATTTGATGAGTCTCATGAGCGATCGAGTTCGAAGAAGAAGAGGTTCTCAAGTGCTTCTCGAAAGAAGCATGACAAGAAGGAGCGATCAAAGGATGCCCCTGAAGACGAGAAGAGAGGCACAAGCTCAGTTGAGGGTACGGACCCGGCGGGGAACACTTGGGCCTGGAGCTCGCGGTTGAGGTCCGGCAGAGAACATTGGTCGCGAGAAGCAGATGGTGGCAGTCGAGGAGGCAGAGGACGAGGAGGAGGAGGAGGAGGCAGAGGACGAGGTTGCGGAGGAGGAGGAGGAGGACGAGGAGGAGATGGGGCTGACGTAAATTCTAACAACCCTCACCACCCTTGACCTTGACACATGGCTTAAGTCCCGAAAAAGCCTTTGGGGAAACAGTCGTTTTTCTGCATTTTTGCATTGTGGCCTGCTCCAGGCCGAGTCCCAGACATGGAAATGGCGCAGCATGCAGCGGATGGTGAGGCGGTTTCGGAGTTGCACGTTGCCACATTGGAGAAGCAAGCTCCCATAAAAGAATGTTTGGAGGATTAACTCCTGTCTTCTGAGGATGTAGGATTTACAGGGCTAGGGATAAAAAAATTAATAGCCTTTTCACTTTGATGAAACGTGACACACTATACACTCCCAGAATACTCCCTAATCCTCCTAGTATTCTTTTCATGTTCCTACCGCCTATCCAACAAAACTGTTACATCCATGAGAGAGAAACCCTGTGTCCTATTGTCGCAGCGACTCCCCAGAAACTCCAGCACATCCCCCCCTGATATCAAAACCGCGCCTTGTTCACTCCGACCACCTCCATTCCTCCGCTCGACTGCACACTCATTCGACTGCAGGTGCCAGTGCCGGACCATGGATTGCTGTTGACCCTTCGTCATCTGACCCGACTCCTCTTGGTCTCCAAGGACCGTTTCTTTGGAACGAAGAGAGTGTTTCTCCAGGAAAGCTGGGAGGAAAACCCAGCAAATCCTACAGAATGACCCCTAAGGGTTGATATGCTCCATGCGGCCCAGCTTCTAATGGCTCCCTCCAACAATTGATCTTGAGGTACCGGTGGGTGCCGCTTTGTGGCCAGCTGGGCGAACTCGTCGTGTTTCTGATGTTCCAGACCGGCAAGACCTACCACAGTGCCTCATGGAGGGTTCACCATAGTAGTGCTGCTGTTGCTGCTGCTGCTGCTGATGATGATGATGATGGCTTCACCGATGCTTCGGTTACCGCTTGTGGCACTGGGAACCTGGCGAAACGTGGGGAGCTGCGTTTAATTACGAGCCACTTCTTACAAGGTGGCACCGGTTTTGAGGACCTGGAAGCCTCCAATGCGCATGGGAACCTCCAACAATCTTCTTGGGACCTGTTGATAGTATTGGAATAGTTATTGGTATTTAAATGATTCAACATATATCTGACACTTGAGCCGATCAAGGTGTTTCCCGGTGCATAGTTCTCCTAATTGGCATCTACCTTGGACTGAGTACCCCACATCCCATGAAGCTTGTTTCAGCTGTGGAAGGGCACAGGCTGGGCACGAAGGGAACCACTCAACCATGGCTCAGAGTTCACAAGGTGATGTTATCTTTGGTGATGTTTCACAAGGTGATGAAAGATTGGAAGAGGCACAAAGATCACCAAAGAACAGCCAGCAATGATCTAATTGTTGCTTTTGTACTGCATTTGTACTAAAGAAATCACCTCAAAATATGGCATAATGGCATGGCATGGCCATGGCTTGAACATTGCCTGCCCACGGTCGCCGTGGCCACCGGTCGCAGGAGAGCACGCCCACGGATGCGCAGCGCCTGCTGCGGCAAGCGATGCCGGGCGCCGAGCTGGTGCTGGCGGAGTTCAGCGGAAGCCCCACGGTGCCCAGCTTCTTCCTGGCGCGGAGGGTGGATGTTGAGGGTGGGATGGAGATCAATTAAAAGGGAGTGGTGGGCGTTTGGGGTGGGTTTTCGGGAGTTACTGGATGCGATGTTTCTTTCTGGATAAGATTCTTTGGGAGGAAGGACCTCCAAAAGAACATTCAAGAACGGAAGGGGAGATTCATGCGATGTTTAGAGGAAAGATCAGCTCGCCGCCAAATGCCTCCAACGGATTCAGACCCAGCCCCGTTCGTAGCGTCCGATCGCTCCTAGTAGCGATGCCAGGAGCCCCGTTCGGTTCGCGTCCAGACCCAGGAATTGTCCGGTCTTTGGCCACCTCGCCACGTTGACGATAGCGAATGATCGACCGATGGCAGGTGTGCGCGCATCAAGCACGGGTCGCGTATTTGGCGCCTCGGCGAGGATGGCGAGTCAATGGCGACGGGGCGCGGACAGTACCGAGACGACCCGTGGACAAGCATGGCGACTCCATGGCAGGAAGCAATTGATCCCCCACTTGGAGGTGTTTCGAAGTTTATGCTTTCTTCTTTGGAGTCGTGGTGTATTTTTTCAATCGACTTGCTTAGGAATTAGGGGTCGGTGCTACAGTGCTACCTGATCTCTTCAACGGTGCTTCCTCCAGGTCCCGTCAAGGCACCGTCGCGGCACCCGTGGTGTCTGTGTCCGGACAAGGTGATGCCCGGCACGCGGAACTTGTCAGATCTGGTCACCGACTTCAACGCCGCCGAGGAGCCGCAGCTTGGATAACCGTGTTTAGAATGGACTGGTGGAAATCATCGACATCGCAGCCTTGGTGCTTTTGCAATTGCTTGGTGCTTGGGAAGGACCAAATTGAGGCCTTTCATTCTAAATGCTGACCGCCAGTGTGACGCATGACATCGCATGACATGTTTCTTCTCCTCAGGACAGCCATCTCAGGGAACGACTATGCGTGAATAATTAAGCATCCCAAAGGCTCAGAAAGGATCCTCAGTTCGCGGTTTGGGTTTTGACCCTCACAACTAGGCGTGAAATGGACCGAACCAATATTAAGCATAAGGGGTGAAATGGACCGAACCAATATTAACAGCATGGTCCTAACTTATTAAGCATAGTTTGGTCATAACTAGAAGTTAGGGTTTTGACCTCTTCACCCAGTCCATCGGCAACCGATGGCAGCCGATGCTTCAGTGAGTCCCAGGTTTGGCACTGGCCAGGGCCATCGTGGCATGATTCAGCCGCGACCCCAGTCCGACCAAGGAAGTAAGTGGAAGACCTGTAAGAAGGGCGGCTTCTAGAGTCTAGAGTGATGCAGTGGATCAAGTTGAGGCCCCAGCAAACTGCTACTGTAACCCTCCCTGAGGAAGTTCCCTATTCAGAGATCCTTGGAGCCTATTTCCCCAAACAGTGTGGGACACACTATAGGGGTTCTTACGGTAGTAGAAAAGATAGAAAAGCAGGTGTGCTTAGATCGCCGTGCCGCGCGGGCGTGTGCGGCAAATTCGCTGCTATTTACAGTACATTCATGCCTCTCGACATCGTCAATGTGCATTTCGACTGCGCAGGCTCGCAGAATCTGGGGGCCGGCGGCGGGTGCTTCCAGCGACTGCGCTCTCGTTGTGGCGCCGTGCGCATTTTCGGAAACCTCGACTTTTCGTGACAGGCGCAAGGGATCGGAGCGGCTTTACTGCGAAGTGCAATTTCGTGGCAGGTGCAGCACTGTGGACATGGTGGTGATCGTCGAGGCGCTCTGATTTCGTGACAGGTGCAGAGAATCGTAGCTTTTCCACATGTGGCTCGTTTGCAGACTTCGTGGCAGGCACAGCACTTGGTGAACCTCGAAGTGCAGATTTCGTGGCAGGCACAGCACTTTGTGAACCTCGACGTGCAGATTTCGTGACAGGTGCAGCACTTTGTGCACCTCGAAGTGCAGATTTCGTGGCAGGCGCAGCACTTCATGAACCTTGAAGTGCAGATTTCGTGGCAGGCACTTTGTGAGCGCAGTCACTCACACTCACTCTCACTCTCACTCACATTCACACTCACTCGCACTCTCACAAGCACTCACACTCACTCACCCTCCCGCTCTCACTCACACTCACACTCACGCTCCCTCTTGGGAAGGACATGCCAGCGTTATTGGAAGTTTGATGAGGATGGCTGCCACGTCAGGGTGCAAGAGAACGTGAGTGAGGTTCGCTCTGCTCTGGGGCGCTTCTTCGATGTCCTGGAGGCGCACTCACAGAGGCTTGACAGGTGGGCAAGCTTGCGCAACAGACAATGGGCAGCCGTCGGCAGTGGATGGGCCTGCTTCGAAGAGTTTCATGGTCGAGTTCCACCAAAAGCAGAACTTTTTCCGGCGGAGCGATTTGTTGGTCTTGCTCAAGCAGCATTCGTGGCTTGTCAAGAGATACTGAACCAGGGGGAGGCTGAGGTGGCTTTGAGGTGCAAAAATATTTAACGCTATGTGGTCATGATGCTGTATAGACATTTCGGCAGCAGTGGGTCGTATGGGGCAGGGAGCGCAGGACCTCGATTCGAAGAATGCATACACTGGAAGTTGGAAGTAGTTTTTCTGCACAGAATTGGCAATGGACAACTATTACGGTCACTTGTCGCATTTCTCCCTTTTTTGTCTGCGCCACCTGGATCCGCCAGAAAAATCAATAAAAATCTATTCATTGATTCCGGCCATTCAGCTGTACCGCCCTCGTGAGGACTCAATTGCCGATCACTTGTCCATGTTTCCCTCGGGGTGGAAGCTCATGCTGTGATTAGCGGAAGCGCTCAAATATGCTAGGTGGTTTTTTCGCCAAAGATGGGGTTGCCTACAAGTGAGTACATTGTGACTCCCTGCATCGAATTCTGCTGCCATCGTTGAATGCTTCAGGATATGTTCTCTCGAACGCTTTGAGGAGGCGTGCACGATGGTGAAGGCGACAAATCAAGCACTTACCGGACCTCAACAGTAAGCGCCACATCGCAGTCGCTACCGCACCTCAACAGCAAGTGCCAGATCGCAGCGGGCGCTGCCGCACCTTAACCGCCAGCTCCAGATCACAGTGGACACTACCGGACCTCAACCGCCAGCGCCAGATCGCAGTGGGCACTACTGGACCTCAACCGCAAGCGCCAGATCGCAGCGGACAGTGCCGGACCTCAACAGCAAGCGCCGGATCACAGTGGGCAGCGCCGGAGCTCAACGCACAACACACAACCAACAACATACAACCACACACAAACACACACGCACAATCACAAACGCATAGCCACGAACTACTACACGCAACACACAACCACAAACACAAACACAAGCGCACAATCACAAACGCATAACCACAAACACAATCACAGACACACAACCACAAACACACAATCACAAACACACAGCCACAAACACACAACCACAAACACACAACCACAAGCGCAACCACAACCACAATCACAAACACAGCCAACCACCACAACAACACCATAATTGCCTGTGTGTGGCATTTGCGTGGCAGGTGGTCACAGGGCCGCACTTTGGCTAGAATGCCACATGTAAACCCTGGCGACACCCCGACGCGAACTCCCCAACACTAAAACAACATCCCGAATCCCCAAGCCCAAGGACCCACAAGCAAAATCACAAATGGGGATCACTCGAAGTCCAAACAATGAGGAGCTGTGAGCATTTTTACCGCACAGCAAGCCCACCTAGTTATGGCTTGAAAGGTGGGTAGGTTGGAGATGAAAAGTTGGATCTGCAATCTGATCGCCTCCCCTTTAGGCGGTTAATAGACCTGTCCAGGATTGATGAGCCATACAGCCAGGTCCCCCTAGCTAGCGTCCGTGACCGCGTGACCGCTTGCTCACCCCGCATGCGCCAGGTCAGCTCGCTGGATGGAGGAGCAAGTGGGACCAGCAGCTTGGCGAGTTGAGGTGGGGGAACGAAGGAGGCTAATGCAACGCCCCTGTTTGGTGGTGAGAATCAGAGTTCTCCCACCCTTCTTTCCTTTTCCTTGGACCCATGAGGACCCCTGGCATTTTCCCAGAAACACTTCGATGCCGGAACCATGCTCTGGAAACCCCCATCTCGGTGGCCCCGCCGCAGCGGTACTGAAGCCCCTGAGGCCTTGATCCGGCTTTACACCTCAGGCGCGGGCAGAAACCCGAGCGCGCTCTGCTCTGCGAACCTCCGAAGAGTCCAAGGACCGAGTGACGATCCACCATGGGGCGAAATGGGGGAGCCATGTAACTACTAATGACTCGTCCAGTGTGATGGAATTGGGTGATATCGGGGCGCGTTTGGATGGGTGTATAGGGAAGTGGCGGGGCGTCGTGTGTCGCGTGTCAGGAGTGCCAGATCCGTGGTGTAGAGGCTTCGTTGGTGAGGTGTTTGGCCCGCGAAATCTTCGAAGTGCCCAATTAGTGCTGCAGGTATTTACATTATCTATTGCTTATGATACCGCTGCAAGTCAGACTCTTTGTGGCGTGAGGGACGGACATGAGCACGCAAGTTACAAGCCGATGCAGTTTGTTTATTGTGAATTAAAGGATATCCGTGTCCCTGACAGAGGGCCCGTTGGTGCTCATCGTGCCTCAGAAACACGTTTTCCTTGTGATGGGTAGTCCCGGGATCATCGCTGGAGGGATCACGTTCGGCTTATTTCACGTGAATGTCATGTTCCATAGCTGCTATTTGGTTTTGTTTTGCACACCTTTGGCTCCGAACATGTTCATGCACAGGAGGACCATGCCTGGAATCATAGCAAGTTTCCCGTGAACAGCAGTTTTACTCGCTGTGATGCAAGATTCTACCATGTAGGTGACGGATGACCAGATCCCAGCAGCCCAGTTAGCTCTATATAGATATGAATGATTTGGGTCATGGTGGATAGCAGGGGTTCCAAGAAACTATCATTTGGAGGGCTGATCGCAAACACTAGTTCATGGCCTTTGTCACTTTGTGACAATTCCTCCATCCCCCCCCTCTCCATCCTTCACCACTTGGGGTATGCATTCGGGGGCTCCTATTACCTGTAACAGTCGGTAAACAAGAAATCTCTATTTGAGAGGAAGGCCTACAACCTAACCATCATCATCCACTGGGCCCAGGGATGTTCGGATACACCCAAGGTATACATGTCGGAATCCACCCGGAATCTTCCGCACGTCGAAACTCATCTGCGCCAGGCTTCCGGATTACCATCCTGGGGCATTCGCTGGGTGCCGGAGTGCCTTTGACGGAACGAGCGACGAACGCGACGAACGGACGGCGGTCTTCGGCCGGTGTTCCGGAAGAGAACCGAGCGCCGGAGAAAGCGAAGTACGCAACTTTTTTTGGATAAGTGGAAGAAGATGGAAGAAGACACAGATTGCTCTGAGTGCTTGTTTAAGTGTGTTTTTGTTCCTGGTTAGTTGAACCAAGAAACATCCAATCTGAAGTCTTGATACCCTCTGACTCACTAACTTGACTTGGAAGTGGACAATGGCCTCTTGGAAGACTACTTTCCTTTACAAACAGGGTGTTTTCCAGTTCCATGTTAGTGAGTCGGAGTGTACCAGGTTTGACCGACCTGTTGCCAGTTTGTTCCAACAAAAAAGTTGATTTAACTGCTAGTTCTAAGTCCAGCGAATTCCGCGCATTTTTGATTCAACTAATTGGCCTATCCCTCATGATGGCGGTACTACGGTGGGCAGTTTCAAGACTAGCATCAACTCCAAGGCATCCCTGCTTCCAGAAAGATCCAAAAGTCATCCCAGAACTTCCGAGACTTGACTCATTTCACTCCACCTGGTACTCACTGGTACTCATCCACCACTTACCAGTTCGAGGTCAAATGGGAGTCCTTTTCCTGCGACGGAACACCACCGGCCATGCGTTCGACGCCTCGCGTTCGACTCCTCGTAGGTGGGCGCCTTCTTGACGCTCATCCTGCGGCCGCAGATCTCGAATCTATGCGCCTCGAACCGGGCGATGGCAATTCTTTATAGCATATAGCAAGTCATACAGCATAATAGCAGTCATAATATATCATAATAATATCATAATAGCATATAGACAGGGATTTGTTCAATATAGATATATATATATATGTAGCTAGAGAGAGAGAGAGCGCGAGCGTTGTTCCAAAGCCGTTTGGAAGGGTCCTTGTGAGCAGACGCATTGGTTTTCATATCCGAATGTATGGACACTAAGGGAAATGTTTTTTTGATGTGTTTTTTTTTTTTTCTTTGCGTTCGCTGCAATGGTTTACCGTTGAGATGGGGTCAGAGAGCGTCGCCGATGAAAGGTGGATTGTGTCACATAACAAGCCAAGGGGTTACTCCCCACAACAAGCCAAGGTGGATTGTCACATACACAAAGCCGAACAAAAATCTGGCGTTAGGATATTCATTCGTTTGGTGCGGAGGTAGGCCCAAGGGGCGAGTGCAGTGTTCCCTCTGCGCAAAGGGCAGTACTCGTAGATATCCATGCAGCCGTGGCAACTTCATTCACAAAGGATATCCTAGCTAAGACGTTGGGCGCTGCAGGGACAAAAAGCTGTCTCCTCCCTAAGAATCGGGGCCCTCAAAAGGTTCGGGTCCGGACCCCTGCCATGGAAGGCCAAAAGATTGTTGGGGTAGATCGGTACTGAGAAGCCTCCCAGGACATCACGTTGGTTCAATTTCCTGTGCCCGACAAGGGAATCTGCAGTTAGGTTTGGGGGGACTCCGCAAGTCAGTCGAATGTAGCTGCATACGGCAGAGGAAGGTCAGTATCGAAACTCAAATGTGCTGGTTGCTGTGCTAGTTTGACTTCATCCTCAATGCTGAGACATGACGATGGTCTTTTCGTTGTTAGAAGAAGGCTTAGGAGGAAACCGTTTTTTCACACTTCAAAAAGCTTCAACAAAGCAACTCCCCGTTTCTCCAGCTTCCTGCAACAGCAGCGAATCGCCCCCTGAGTGGGCTGGTGGTTTCAAGTAGCCGACATCCCTGGAACAGGTTGGGAGACGGTAATCGTTCTTCTACAGATTCCCCAGATGACTCAGCTTTTGCCCTCAAGAAAACTCCCTGATCAACTATGATCCCACGAAGCCAATATTGCAGTAACAACACTCTTTCCATCCCACTGCGGTTCTCCAGTCCCCGCGCTTTTCTCGCGCCCCTTGCAGCCGTGTCTGAGACTGCTATGGCTTCGGCACCCCAGCCTGTGTGGACGAGCAGCTGATGCCCAGCCTGCTGAACTGTGCCTGGGCGGAAACGGCTGGTGGGACAGAAGCGCCACCTAGAAGGCAGAAGCGCCACTGAGCAGTTCCTCCACGTTCCACCTTCGAACGGCCTGTTGGGACCGTCGACTGGAAAGTGAGCCCAGCCGGGAGACATCCAAAGATGGACCGGTTCTCGGAGAAGAAGAATTGCTTTACTTCGAGTGATCCCCACCATGACATGTCAATCATTGGCTGCCAAGTGCCATGGTGAGGAGCATGTTGCCATGGTCGTGAGTTTTGTGGTGTTCGATTTTGCTTGTGGGTCCTCGGGTTTGGGATTGTTCTTTTAGCGTTAGGGAGTTCGCGTTGGGGTGTCGCCAGTGTCTCCAGTTGGCGTCCAAAAGTGCTATCCAGTGACCACCTGCCACGCAACATGCCACTCACACACAGGTAAATATATTGTTGTACGCAGTTCTGTGTTTGTGTTTGTGGCTGTTTGTTGTGGTTGTGTGTTGCTGTTGTGTGTTTGTGGTTGTGTTTGGTGGTTGTATGTTTGTGGCTGTGTGCCTGTCATTGCGTTTGTGGTTGTGTGTGTGTGTGTCACACTCTGTTTCCAAGAGTTTTCCAATGTTTCCGGTTTACTTCATACAGCAGGGGGCCATCCCCCTCCCCAGTGGCGGATGGCCAACGAAGAGGTAGTGGGGGGGAGCTGCAAACGTACCTGCTGAACTGTTATACAAGCTGTTCTCCTTTCGGCTTGCTTCTCATGGTGGTTCTCATGCTATTCCCCTAAACCTCCCCCCTTTTCTGTTTGCTAAGTATTCAGTAAAGTGCTAACGCGTCAACATTATTAAACATTTCTGTTCAGCCGACTTTGGGCCTTTCCGTTCCCTCATTCATTTCACTGTGGATTATGGAAACTGCAAACCCTGTGACAAAGTGTGTTGTGTGTGTTTGTGTTTTTTTGTTTGTGGCTGTGTTGTGTAGTTGTGTGTTGCGGTTGTTTTTGTGTTTGTGTGCTTGCGGCTGTGTGTTTGTGGCTGTGTGTTTGTGAATGTGTGTTTGTGATTGTGTGTTTGTGATTGTGGTTGTGGTTGTGGTTGTTTTTTGTGGTGGTTGTGTGTTTGTGGCTGTGGGTGTGTGATTGTGTTTGTGGTTTGTCTGCTCATGACTGCTTGTGGCGGTGTTTTGCAGGGCTCATTAAAGGCTGTGGGGAAAAAGGTTTTCGGCCTCGTGTCATACTCTGTCCAAAGGATGACGGCGCAGCGAAGTTGACACTTCTGGACCTCTGGAAAAGCAGTGTTGAGGTTCATCAGAGGTTGCCGGAGACAGAGAAGGTACGGAAGGTAGCTTCCTCCCTTTTTGTTTCCGAAGGCTCAATGATTCAATGAGGCCACGGCCACCCCAGTGGTTTCCATTGCAAAACCTAATGACATCAAGAAGAAACACAGGAAAGCGATAGAAAACGCATCCTCTAAAGACTAAAGCTAAGCACCACGACGTCACCCTTCACCTAGTAGGTCCCTTTTGTAGGGATTCCACGAAGCCTGGCCTGGAGAGGTGGCTGAGCCTCGGTGCCCAGAATCGCGGACCGAGATATCGAACGATTGTATGTGGAGAGTTCCCCACTCAATGAGCGGTATGTCTTCCCCATGCGCGGATAGAATTATACACCATATCAAGGGAGCCTACAAGTTGTGACTGCTTATTGGGTGCATATTGTAGTGTTTGAACGCTCCACGCCCGGCCCGCTCAACCCCTGTTCCTGCGGGGGTAATGGCCCCTCTGCCGCCGGGCCGTGTTGCACTTGCGGGTTCCGCGGTCCGCCCCGCTACGGTCCGACCACACCGGCCCTCGAGCGGTGCGTGGCAGTGGGTTTTGGTCGCTCGAGCGGCTAAGGCATGGTGTCGGTCGCTTGGAGAAGGATGCGCGGGGCGAATCTGCCCATGGCTGGTCATGAGATGTCATGAGCAATGCATGGCCTGGTTACAAGAAATGATCACAAATGTGTTGTTTTTGCGCAAGTCATACATCGGAGTTCTGGTAGACTTTATAGTGAACACTAGTGAAACAGATCGATGTTTCCACGATCCTAATTATACCAGTATCCAGTATCAGTCAGTATCCAGTTTTTGCATGTTTTCAACAGGTCGACTTGTCCTTGGGTCCTTTTGGTTTCGCTCCAAATTTGGCTCTCAACTTATATATTGAGCGGAGACCTCTCATTTGATGGGTTGGATGCCAACAACTCCATACCTTTTTAACCGGAACGGCTTTCGAAAGCTCGCGTTTGGAGCTAAGTAGGTGGATGAAGAGGAGAACGATGCGAACGCTACACGACGAGTCACCTCAGGTGGTGAACCGTGATGACTTGGTACCCCGGCTGAGCGTGAAGAGTGTGCAAGGCCTCCTGGAGAGTCTCTTGGAATGAACATGAGAGAGTACCCGGGTCAGGAGTCGAGGGATCAAAGGAAGGACTTTTTGAGTGGACATCGCTAACTTAGCGTAGGAGTGATGGTGTTAGCGTTTGGACCGCAGTCATGTAGACTCTTAGGGGTTTCAATGTATACTCATAATGGACAGCTAAAGAGTTTGGACAGCTGAACTCTTGATTAGTACGACATGTTTCCAGGCCTGAAGAGTTGAAAAACTATCCAACTACTGTGGATCTGAATTGAATCAAGAGTCTACATGACTGCTTTATCAGCTGACATCCACGGCTTTCTTGAAGTCCGCTGCGCAGAAAGCCGGGTTCTTGGAGTTGATCGTTGATTGTCTCCGGTGCCGAGTCCGATGCGAATCCCGTAACCAGCGCCCTGGTGTGCTTAGAATGAGCCATTGATGCAAGCAGAAGACAGAAGACTACCCTCCCGCCAAGCGGACCAGATGGAACTGTGGAACCTGAGAATTGACTGGTGGTGGAAGACCATTTTTTCTCATACCAACGTTACCAACCCAGTGGTTTTGGGGGTTTCCATGTGGGTCTCTGCAGGGAAGTAGTTGCCAGTTGAAGGTCGAACGCTTCGGGGCCCGAGCCGAAGATCGCATCCGGGACGAAGTAAACCATGGCACTGCTGGTGGAACTGCTGGTGGTTGGGTGTTTTGTTCCCTCTTGCAAAGCGAACAAGGACGCTACTAGGAACAAAGGGACGCCGTTCATTCAATCCCAAGATTCTATGCCACTTCCGTGTGCTTGTCCTATAGGCCCTATAGGCACTTTCAGTGGTTCATTCGCTTACCCTGTTGGTCAAACGGTCAAACGACATTCTATCTTTCACTTGGCAGATGAGATTGATAGACAAGAGTAGCGGTCATCCAAAAAGGATGGAAACCAAGTTCCATTCGTGTGTTCTGGATTGATCTTCAAACGGCACATTCTTTGCCGGAGGCATCTTTGACTGAAAAGACGCTGTAATCAAAAAATCATGTTCGGGGTTGCAAACACGTGCTCAAAGTCCATGGACAGGGAAGGCGCCATTTGGACGCCTAAGAACGCCGTGTCTTTTTAGTTTCTGCCGGTTTCCGCCAGGTCGCAACAAAAAACACCATCTTTGGGAAGAGACACCATAACGGCATCATGTTTTCTTGAAAAGGCAGTTATCGAAGATCCAGGTATACATTTGCCGTACCAAGATTGATAAATGAAACTATTCCATTCATACGAGACATCCCCACTCCGCCCACCACCGGTCATGTTTTGAGGCGTGCTTTGCCCTGGGCAAGTCGCAAAGACCCAGGCGGCCGTCATGCGCAGTTTGGGGCAAGTCATGCGCAGGAAGCGGTAGGCACCACCGCGTGCTTGCTGGGGCAGACCGCCTCAGCTGGTTTCAATTCGGTAATACGGTCAGAACGGTATACGGTCAGGAGCTCGAGACCAGCTCGTGGAAGTTCGTCGAAGTTCGCTTCGGTCCTGCAAGGTGGAGCACTGAACAGAACCAACAAGCTACGTCCCTACGGGTACGTCCAGTCTCACCCAGTAAAACCTTGGTTTGTGACATGCCTATATATAGGTCCTTGGATGTCCATGGTGTTTGTGACCACGGATCCAGTTCCTTGCATTCGAGGTCAGTTCCGGGAGAGATGCCTTCGATCCTCGTGGCTCGTTCGGCGAAGCTCCGTACCGGTCCGAGCTCGTTGAAAGCCGGTTGGGTTTGGAGGACTGCGCCCGAAAGACATCCGTGGATGTGGTTGTTAAGAGTGCTCATTTAGGTTCAAGCAAAGGAATTCTAAATGAACTATGTACACCACATGTATTCAACCGTGCTTCAAAACTTCTTTGGTTCATTCCCACGCTTCTGCACCCCAGGCCTCTCAATGTGTTTTTTTTTCCATGATGTCACTGGGATCTTCCTCCGCCTCCCAAGCCTTCCTTCGTCACGGAGGCATGGATGAAGGAGGATTGGCAAGCGGTCAAGGCCGCGGAAGACGGGACGGACCAGTGCTGGACAGAGGTCAACTCGTTGGAAGCGGTCGACGCGTTTGGGCGGCCATTGGTTGGCAGTACGGATCGGAAGTTGTCAGGTCCGGTGAAAACAGGCAGTTGAGTTCCGGCCTCTTGGGGGTTTCATCATTTTCATTCATTTTCCATCCATGTTCTCCTGGATTCCTGGATTTGGAAAGAGGATGAAAGAGGCATCCTGTTGGTTCAGCTGTCACATGGTCATTCGACTGGATAGTTCCCACACTGTTCCCACACTTTCACCCTTTCAACTCCTATTTTCGTGGAGTTCAGCCACAAAGAGACGATGAAGCTTAGCTGCTTGAACGACTAGAGCACCAAAAATTCTCAAGAAAACCTCCACCTGGACCCCCAAGGGGTGGTTGATGGACACCCGTTGACCTCTAAGGGGCTATTAATGGACACTCTTTCCGTGGTGCTGGCATGTTTTTTTTTGTACAAACCCTTCCTTCAGGTCTTCAATTGGATGTGTATTCAATTAGGGAGACCTTCCCGGCGGGAGGTTTGGAAAATAGACCTGTCTCGCCGAGGGCGAGGGGCGAGGGCCAGAGTGTCTCCTGGATTTTACATACACACCCATGGCCCAGACACTCCATGGGACTGCCATATTGACCTACATAGGCGGTGGTTGACCCAGGGTCAATGTAGTTAGGCATCATGTATATGTAGACATATGTATATTGACTCTGGCTTCATAGCCACGTTGATAGCTGCAGCCTGCAGCTCTGAACGGCCACCTGGAAGTGGCACAATTGTTGCGCTAATAAAATTGTATAGACATATGTAGACTCTTGCTTCATAAAACCCTCCCCAGATATGGATTGAAAAACCTCTTCCTATAGCCTTTATATGGGTGGGTGATCTCAAGTCTACGGAGACATGTAGGCTTCGCTACATGGAGTGTTTGCAGTAGAAGCCGCCAGGACTTGGAACGCGTGGTGGAGCTACGGCGGCGAGGGCAGGCGCGAGCGCGCGACACGGGACGTGTGCTTCGGTCGACTTAGGGAGGTCGTTCGGCCACGGACGTGAAGAGGAGGGGGTTGTCTTTCGTTTTGGAAGGCGTTTTTCATACGTTTCATATCACAGTTCACTGCAGAGTTCAAAGACCAAATGTTTAAGGAATGTATAGGGGAGTTTCAGAAAAGCTACGTAGAAAAGGCTACGCTGGGCGTGTGCAGCAGGCCCGCAGCTGACATGACATGGCGCAGGCCCGCAAACTCAAGCCACTCTTGGACAAGATGACGGTTCAAGGCCAGCAGATGCAAGGCCAAGGGATCCCAATCACCATCAATCACCCAATCAGATTCTCCGCAAGACGGTCTCTTTCAGCTCCAGCTCCGGAAGACACAGCCGTTAGCCGTGGCGCTTCATCCGTTCGAAAACCACACGAGACGACGTATGGGGGAACGTTCCTCGTATACCTTCCCGCCTTCCCTGGCAACTCAGTCTGAAACCTCCTGACAGACGCCGCCAGAACTTCCTCCTGGTTCCAACTTACGGATCCTGGCATCCGTTCTCGTCTTCCGTGCGCTCTGGCCGCTGATCGATCAACGCAATGCCCGAGCAACCTCGCGGTACCATGGCGTACTCATGTTCCACACGAGCGTCTCACCACAGCGTCAGGTGTCAAGGGCAATGGTCAACATCCAAGAGGCATACATCACCCTTGCAGCAAGCATTGAATCGGAAAGCCTAGTTACCTAGTTCTCTGACCAAAATAGGTTTTCCACAGAGGTGCAGAACCATCGTTTTCGAGGGATCGACGACATGTCCCCCGACATGTACCGGTAGACAGATCGACGACGTGCATCACAAAAAGCTTGATCAGTGGTTGGTTCGTCCACGGTCCGAAGACAAAGCAGTTTGCCCTCCTTTCGGAGTGGCACGGTGTTCTTCGGTGTCCAGAAACATTGAAACCCAAGATTTCCACTTAGAGATTGTCAGATCGAAAGAAAGGAACAGCCAGTCACCAGCGGCACCCAGTTTGAGTGGTTTATAGACCCCTTTGATCATGTGTTTTGCATCCAAACACCATGCTGACAGGGTGGTGCTGGTAAGTTTGGTTTGGTTTTGGAGGTCTGTTGGACCAATCTGCTTCTAGCTTCAGTATCGACGGATGGACACCCACCGACGCTGCTCGCATGGTCTGGAGCTCGGTGGCGGTGTTGGGCGGTGAACCCCAACGCGCTGAAGGTTCGGGCTGCTTACGTCATGTTCTTATAGTTTCTCTATACACCAAACAGATATAAACTATATTGAAATATCATAAATTCCAAAAGATGAATGGGAAAGCCACCTAATATAACTTGATACAGTAGTTACTTGCTTCTCCCCTTTGCAATATAGGTGAAAACCAAAGGAACCAAGCACCCTCACGCCTCCAGGTGCCGGCGGAGGCGCAAGAGCTCGGCGACGGCGAAGAGGCGACCGAACGGCGGACGAATCCATGCCGTCCGAAAGGGCCGAACATGCCGTTGGAAACAGCAATTAGG